TTTCTTTATGATAAAACAGAACATAATTTTACAAACCCAGTAGTTGTAAGAGTTTATGAATCAATAAAAACTTATGTATAGGCAGCCAAAATTCAACAACATATCAATGAAAAAACAGCGCTTATAGTAGGTGGTGTCACTGCTGGTTTACTCATGATTTGGATAAATAGTCTTTTACGGATAAGTACAACAGCCCAGCAATTGCTACGGTCAGTGCCCACAAGCCAAGTGGTGGTCTTAGCTAATAAATTCAAGAGCCAGGAAACAATACTCCCTATTATACAAGAAGTGCAGAGGCGGCTTTCCCAGCGAGCTTTCCCAGTGCTGAACCTAATGCTTTTAAATGCTTTTTTATCCACTCTTTTACACCCTTTTTATCAGTATGGGGTGTGCCACCTCCTGTACCACCTGTTACGCAAGAGTCAAAGTTGATATAATAAATCCCAATGCGGTTAAAATACTGGCAATGGTTATCCCCTGTTCTCTGAACAATGTTTTAATTTTATCGGCCAGTGTAGTATCATCGTTGAAGACTTGATCGATAGTTTCTCGAATTCGACTGATTTGTGAACGAAGTGCCTTTCTATTACTGGAAGCCGTTTCGAGGCAGGCCGATCTTTCGTCTTCTAAGTTACGCAATCTTTCAGCAACGCGGCATCTACTGAATTCATCACCCGCCTGTTCAAGTTCTGTTTTCTCATAAGCAGTATGCTTGTCGAGTTTGGATAGCTTGGCTATATTATTGATGAGTTCTCCCCGCATTGTTTGCATTGCCTTGTCAAGACCTCGTAATTCCCTAATACTGAACTCCGAGGATGGTACACTGACCGTGGAATTATTGCAGTAGGTATCCAAGATTTCTCCAGGGCCCGTCCGAGGCCAGCTTCGAGCTTTCTTCCAAATTATCTATATCTATGGCACCGAGTTCAGCACGCACAGTCCGAAGAACTTTAGTAGTCTTCGCAGAAAGTTTTTCTCGTGAAGAGTCTACAAAACCTAATACATTACGAACAATATTGATGCCGTGTTTACTGGCTATCATAGACAAGGCTAGAGGCTTACGAGTACGAGAATTCATAAGATCAATATCTGGAGTGCCACGCAGTCGCAATGTTCCTTTGCCATCTAATTCAAACTTTGAATAGTCACGACCAATTGGGCTAACATCTTTAAAGGTATCGTAATAATCATTAACGGTTGATTGTAAAAGTTCATCGTTAAGATTCATGCCACCAAAGCTGGTTTCATCAGTACCCTCTTCGATTGTACTAGGGTTATCAAAGTCATCTAGATTAAAATCAATCATTTTTATATTAAACATAAGGTTACATAATTTCAATATAACAATGTCTTCGCAATACGGACGCAAGTTAAACCAACAACGTAGACTTCGAGACCCATTAGGGGTCAAAGCAATTCGTCAGTCTGTAACTATAACTAATAACCCGAGTACCATCAATCAGAATCAAACGCTTCTGGTTTCGCTTTCCTAATCTCGACGCACACGATGTGTTAGTTGGGGGAACTGTTCGACTAGCATTTACGATTAGTTTGACTTCTACCGACGTTAACAGGGAGCCTGTTAAGAATATAGGTCGTGCTATCGTTAAGAAAATCACGATTAAAATTAGTGGTAATGAAGTTTTGAGTATCGATGATAGCGATGTATACTATTGTTACATGGATCTCTGGAGAATGGATAAAGAGCGGGAAAACTTACAGTACCAAGGTATTTGTAATTGGAACACATTGAGACTGCGTGTGGGTGCTGATAATGGTCATAATACTGTCGTAAAAGATCTTGCTGTTGCCGGCGCATTAGGTAACCGATTCTATATTCCGCTAGACTTTGAATTACTAGATAGTCACATGCCCTTTTATCAAGCATCCCTAGGCGATAGGTAAGAATACTAACTCACTTTTAATGACTACAGTAGAGTAATCAGAGCTGCTGAAGATGCTAGCTATTCCATTGACAATATCTCACTGGAGTATGATATGATAACAGATCCTGAATTAGCCAGACAAATTCGTAACCATTATACCGGAAGTTTAGCCATTTTGTACGATCGCGTGCTTCGACATCGAAAGATCATAAGGAGCAAAAAAGATACGACGTGGAATATCAATCTAAACATCCCCACGAGATCGTTGAAGGATATTTTAATGTTGTTCGAGGACCCCTCCGATGCATTTAAAAGAAATACCGAGAAGTTCTACAAACCCAAGATTACAAAAGTACAATTGACTATCGACGGCGTGCCTAATCAACTATATAGTCAAGGAATGCTAGCGTATCAACAATGGGAAGAGATTAAACAACTCCCTTCTATAAAACGAAGCCCAGAAGTTAACGCGGTCGCGAAAGATTTGTCTCTCGGGGATGTATCCATGGGTGAATACCTCACCACGAAGTATGCGCTATGGCTCGACATGTGAACCAAGGACGATGACCAACTACACGGCAGTGGGAGGAGAATAGAAAATGCTAGCGAGGGTGTCACTATACAGATAAGGAAGCTCCAGGAATCGGCTGGTAAATTAAACATATATTTGTACGTGATTATGGATGCGCAACTTAATATACAGAATGGATGATTCGTGCAAGCAATCTATTGATAATCTTTTACCTAAAGAACCGCACTGCGCTATCATCTGTGGGCAAACGGGTTGTGGAAAAAGAGCTTTTATTCTAGATATTTTAGAAAGTCATTATCGGGGTGTTTTCGACCATATTATTATTCTGTGCCCCACTATAAGCGTTGATAAAACATACCTATCGAGAGATTGGGTAATGAATGATCCCAGGACGTACAAAGTTGATCCAGGCGATCGTTTACAAGACTTTTTACGAGTATGTCACGAAAAATACAAAGGAGAATCAAACCTTTTCATAATAGAGGATTGCAGTGCAAGTAAAGAACTAACCAAAAAGAAAGATATGCTTTCATATTTAGCATTCTCCGGTCGACATACTCAGCATAGCGTTTGGGTACTTACTCAAAAATACAACTCTGTCCTGAAAGATCTGAGAGAGCAGACCAGATGGGTAGCCCGGTTTCATTGCAAAGACCGAGATTCATTTGAGGAATGTCTATGCGAAAATGATGTTATTTATACCAAGCTCGAACGAGATAAAGTCAGAAAACTGTTAGCTTCAACAAAGCACTGTAAACTTGTATTAAATTGCTTAGCAAATTATAGCAAAAATAGCAAAATTATAGCAAATATAGCAACTGCTAAGGAAAAATATATAGCAAATTTAGCAAAATTATAGCAAAAATAGCAAAAATATAGCAAATATAGCAACTGCTAAGCAAAAATATATAGCAAATTTAGCAAAATTATAGCAAAAATGGCAAAATTAGAGCAAAAAGATAGCAAAAAGATAGCAAAATAGGAAAAATACGATAAATTGAACATTAGCGGTTATTATGTAATAATGTGGCTTGAAATCCTCATTCTTTCACAACAGTTAATAATTACTGGTTGTATTGGATATGCCATATTTTATTATGTTAGACTTTTATATCTCCTTAGGTATTACATTATGGAATGCGACAAACTCATCGAACAAATGCTCAAAGAACCAGATCAGCATGCAGAAGAACATACAGATAAACATAGAGAAAGACTCGCCGCTTTGGTAGCTGGTGGAAAATGTTCCCAATATTTTGGGGGAAATTATACCATCGAAAAAATTGATAACATGACCGATGAAGAAATTAAAAAACTGTACGCCCGTTACGAGTCTAGACTGGGAGCTACCATGACTAAAACAATAGGGTCGGCTATGTTACAACTATACACAGTCATAGCTAGTACGTTTCTTCCTATCCCGGCAGAACATCGCCCGTATTTATGCGAATCTCTCAAGAAAGACCCATTAATCGAACACGCTATAAGCGCAGTAAGCTGTGTTTTATCATAGATACGGAATGTTCTTAGCTCCGGTGACCACTGCTTTAATAACGGCTAGGTATTGTCAATTTAAACATAAGTGCCCACTTAATAATAATGGAGACTCAAGTGACACCACAGATTGTGAAGACGCATCAACAAGTGAACGAGGAAATACCAGCGATTGCACAATCACAACAGATTGTGGAAACACAATCACAACAAGTGAATGAGGAAATACCAGTGATTGCGAAATCACAAGCCAGAGTTACTAAGAACCCCAGAAAAACTCAGCTGGTAGGAAGGGCGGGCTAGCGAGGAACGCGAAACTAATGCATAATTAAAAAATATTGAACATAATCGTCCGATTAAAACTTGGGCTCCCTATGCACTAGGAGTTGTTGCTATAGCGGTGGTATGGTTGTTTTATAAGACTGGAGAAGAGAAAACGTCACCCCCGATTACACAACAACAAGTTCAATTAGAGGTTAGCCCCCCATATAATGCTATAATGACTACTCCAGTTACAGATGGTAAAATGTTGGTAAACGCAACGTATCATTCAGCGGTGGTCAGCGGCTTGGCCAGTGGCTATGCCTGCATAGCTAAAGTGATTACTAAAGCCACACCACACAAGCCAGATTTTAGTGGTTATGATATCGGTATGGTAATTCTCAATATTGGATTGGCTATGGCTACAAAATATATGCTCATCAAACAAGGGCTTATTCCAGAAGATATAATGAAGTAATTAAACATTTGAATATTTTATATTCATATAAATATGGCAACAATTGCGATGATGGGGCTATTGTTAATGCTCTAGCTTTTTCGGGGAGTAATTATTTATTTTCTACTCTGAGGGAATCAAATGCTAAGGAAGTTGAAGAGGAGTGTAAACGACATAATAAAGCATTAGAACAACTCGAAGCAGCCCAGTCACAATGGACCAGACAGAGTATATTAAGATTAGATTTTATTAATGAAGAACTGCGTAGGCAAGGACATTCAATTCAAACGTTTAAGGATGTTGAATCTGCCATGCACGAATACTTCCTCGTTTATGGATAAAAACTTGACCCAATACAGAGACCAACAATAAGTCAGTTTTATACACCATCAGAGGAACAAAAAAACAGAGAGAAAGCATTTATAGCTTTGGGATGGACAGTCAATGTAATTTTCAGTTATACTACAATAACTTCGCATAAACCATGACCTGGTCAGGGTGAGTCTTATCAACCATGTCAACCTGACTGCTAATCTATAAATAACCCTGACTGGCTGTTAAGTTATGTCTGGCTGACTGTTGTCTACTTTTAGCTACACATAAGCTATGATCTATTACGTGTCAACTAATCTATAAATAGCGATGACAACTATGACTCACCAGTGGAGATGTGATTTGCATTTAGACAAATGATATGATAGATTTACACTCATGGGGAAAAAAATTCAATGCAACCAACATTCTGTGGGTATTTACTGTGGTATTTACATTTAGCACTAACTACTAAATGACTTTATCGCGCGTATCCAAACCATTGGCTAATTACGCCCGTGACCCAATCACCCCTTGTAACTCAATCACCCCCGGGTCACCACCCTGCACCGTGCCAGGGGCAATAATCCCGCGCAAGCATCATCCCGCCTTTGTTATAGTCCATCATTTGCGCGCCATCTCACTTCAAGTACACACGTTTCGCTGTATCTAATTGCTTTCGCTTTGTACATTTCCTTTGTACGGAATCGCGACCATTTCGCCGATTACGCTTTGAATAACATCTATTTCAACACTCGCCGTATCGTATTTACACAATTGCAACCGTTTCACTGATTACTGTTTGAATACCACCTTTTTCAGCACTTGCCGTATCGCATTTATTTCGTTCTACTCCTGAACTTCATCCTCGGGACATTTTTACACTTGTGGAATACCAACTCACCACCTCGACCTTCCGTGATGCCTCCCAAGAGAAGATCAGCCGTCAACCATAAGCTTGTGAGGGGAGCCAAGCAGGCCAGGACAACCAGGAGACAAACCCTGGGAGTACACATTATGCAGGAGGCAACAGCTGATGGTGAGTCTTCCAATTATGGAAATATCGAAGGTGGCAACACAATCAACGTGCAATCGGCACAGCTCGTAAATGCCACGCAGGCTGCCAACTCGGCTACCCAGGTAAACGAGCAGCTGGAAAATATACTCCAGCTGCTTAAACATTCAGCGCCCGGCCCGGTTAGCGAAAAACAAACAGGTAAGGCTTGGTTTTAGTTCTCCTGCCATTTCGCTCAACATAGGGAGAATCCCCGATGCTCACAACGAGGCCGACGGTGATGCAGCTTTGCCAGCCAATCAGAATGCAGGATATGGGGATTCCCTATCCTTCCGTGTTGATTGGAAAGACGCAAACGTCAAACAACATGTGAGGGAAAAAATCTGGCGTGGCACGATTCCTCAGGTAAGATAATTTTTAAAGCAGCAACCAAAGCACCTGTCCCTGGCAAGCTGGACTTCAGCTTTCCACATTTTCATGTATATCTATGTTAGAAGGCACTCCGAGGTCCGCACAACCCAGGGCTTGCTGTCCTACATGGAAACCATAAGAACGGCGGCACTTCGATTCGGGGGGGATGCCTGGTCAACCTACGACCAACAATTCCGACACAGAATGTCAAGGGACCCCTCACGACGCTGGGACAACATTGACGGGGAGTTGTTGCTGAAGTACATGGTCACACAGCCGGTACGCCAACCAGAGTCAGGCGGACGGGGCACAATGACACGCGTACAGGGGGACATCGACAGTCAGGTATGCTTGGATTTCAATAAATTTGGCTGTAGCAGGGTCAACTGTAAGTACACTCACAAATGCGGTAAGTGTGGCAAAAATTCCCACAGCTCTAGGACCTGCTTTCGAGGGAATGGGGTCCAACCGACCCCATACAAGCCCAATCAGCCTTTACCCTAACAGAAAACCAGCCGTCTAGGCAGGTCAATTCAATGGCCCCTTCCCCCGTGGATCTCAATGAAATGGCACCCTGGTTACACCAATATGCTAAAATCAATAACAGAGATGCAAATTATTTATGGGTAGGTTTTAGCTTTGGTTTTAAGCTCGAGTTCCAGGGAAGCCGCACTGGTCGCCTGGCACAAAACTTGCGATCAGCCACGCATCAAGACACGTCAGGCTACGTCAAACAAAAACGACAAAAGGAAGTCGACATTGGCAGGATGGCGGGGCCCTTCAAGGACACCCCCCTGGACAACCTCCAAGTATCCCCAATAGGCCTGGTGCCCAAGAAGCAGCCAGGCTATGGTCAGCATCTGGGTAAGCATGCGGAGGAATTCCGTCTAATTCACCATCTATCCTACCCCAGGGGTAAATCTATAAGCGACTTCATATACAGAGGCCTGCTCCGTTGTGTATGTCAGATTTGATGAAGCTACTCATATGGTTCAACAACTGGGAAAGGGAGCACTATTAGCAAAATTGGACATTCAGTCGGCCTTTAGAATTATACCAGTCCACCCATCCGATTTCGAGCTGCTAGGCATCAGATTCGAAGGTGAGTTCTATTTTGATAAATGCTTACCATTTGGCTGCTCCATATCTTGCGCCATATTTGAAACGTTTAGTACCTTCTTGCAATGGTGCATGCAATCACATCTTCCAACGTGTCAGATCATGCATTACCTGGATGACTTCCTAACAGGGGGCACAGCAGGCACCAGCCACTGCTCAGACAACCTCAGCGGGTGCGTGAATACACTGGAACAGCTTGGGGTCCCTATTGCGCACGACAAGACGATGGGCCCCACGACCAAACAGACATTTTTAGGGCTGGAAATCGGCACTAATGCAATGCAGATCAGAATCCCAGAGTCCAAGATCAAGGAGGCGACAAGGGAAATCCAAGACATCCTGTCAACAGGTAACATCAAGGTCACAAAAAGGGCCCTTCAGTCCCTCATAGGCAAGCTTTACTTTATGTGCAGGGCTATACCAATGGCAAGGGCATTCAGCCGAAGGCTAATCGATCTGCTTAGCAAAGGTAAGCAACCATTTCACCACATTAGGATTACCAGCTGGGTCAAGGAAGACCTACAAATGTGATTAACATTTCTTATGAGTTGTAACGGCATTTCAGTGTTTCAGGACCAACTATGGGTAGACAGCGACTTCCTCCAGCTGTTTTCAGACGCAGCGGGTGGTGCCCGCTTTGGGGCCTACATGCAGGGCAAATGGTTTAACGGCGCATGGCCAACCCAGTGGGTGACGGATGGAACTACACAGGACTTGACGCTCCTGGAGCTGTTCCCCATCACACTGGCCATCCAACTCTGGGGCAAGCAACTTGCAAACAAAAAGGTCCTCTTCTACTGCGACAACCAAGCTGTCGTAGCAATAATCAACAAACAGTCTACCAAGGCCCCCTGAGTGATGAGCTACTCCGTCGCCTAATCCTGCAGTGCCTCCTATATAATATTCTGTTTAAGGCAAAGTATGTCTGTTCCACTGCTAACACTATTGCCGATGCTCTCTCGAGGTTTCAGCTCAAACGCTTCCGAGAGGCAGCACCAGCCACGGACCAGAACCCCACACCTATCCCGTGCAACATATGGCTGATCTGAGGCAGGAAGCCGGCAGACTCCTACAACAATCTCTGTCTACAAACACATGGGCCACTTACCAAACAGTCATCAATGCCTTGCACCAGTTCCGGTCCACACACCAGCTACAAAAGGTGTGGCCAGTCCCGCTGGATCAGGTCGTAAACTTTATTGCTTATCTGTCAGTCACTCACCACTCCCCAGCGCTGTCTTCACAGCACAAATTCCACGGGCTCACTGACTGTACAAACCATTTCCTGGTGGGCAAGATTTTAACAGGCTTACACAAATCAGCGGGCCGACCAGACACCAGAAAACCGATCACTGCAGATCTGCTGCAGGTAGTAACCAACAATCTGCCACACGTATGCTCATCAGCATATGAAGCCTGACTGTTCAAGGCAGTCTACTGCACAGCCTTCTTTGGTTTCTTTAGGGTTAGCTGGCTGGTCCAAACTGGACCCTCAAAAACAGGTTGCGCCATCCAGAATTTAAGATTCTCGGGCAACCCCCAGCAGCTTTCAATCCATCTACCACACTCAAAGTCTGATCAGTACAGGATGGGGACAACAGTTACAATGTCATCTATACAAGGTAATCCGCTATGTCCGGTAGTCGCCACCAAGCACTACCTGGAGGCGCGCCCCTCCGGCCCACAACATGCATTCGTTCATTTCGACCATTCCCCATTACAAGGTACCAATTCCAGGCACTCCTAAAAAAGGCCTTAGCACACAGCAACATAAACACGGCTTGCTATTCTTTGCACTCCTTCCGCATTGGGGCAAGCCACATCAGCAGCCATGAACGGGGTGCCGGAACACCTCATACAGCAATACGGCAGGTGGAAATCAGATTGCTACAATGCTTACATATGCTTACCAACAAATTTAATGCTGCACAATCAATTCAAATAGTCTTTTCATGGTACTTACTACACTTCTTATTGTTTACAGTTTGGATGGTGGGATCCAGCTACATGGCCAGGGCACGACAGTACTTGCTCCTGAATGGCACCAGTCCGAACCAACCGAGGATGCTATGGCTGGCACGAGGGGGGATGAGGTGGAAGGAGGTGGACACCATTCTAGATGCACAGGTCAAGGCGACACGGCGCAGCCCCAGAGCCCTCATCATTCACCTGGGCTCCAACGACCTGTGCTCGGTCAAGGGCAGCCAACTCTACCTTGACATGGTGGCATCAATCCTTCGGATACAACTCCAGCTTCCTGACACCAAGGTCATCGTATCGTCAATGCTACCCAGGCGCTACTGGCACGATGCCAGGGATCCACTAAAGATCGAGGGGATGCGGAAGAATATCAACCGCCGACTGGGCAACCGAGTCAAAGAGCTTGGCGGTACAATAGTGCCACATCCCCAGATCCTAGCATCAGACAAGACATGGTATGCCTGGTAGAGCGTCCACCTCAGTGACAAAGGACTGTGTGTTTAAGGACAATTTCTTGCATGCTCTGGCGCTTGTTTTGCGCCAGTAAGGATGTTTTCAGTACATAGGCAGGCTGGGCAACAATGCTATCTCCCCGTATCGCGTGCCCGTGGGTGTGGGGTAGCACTCTGGTGCTTTGTGGAGGGGTTCTTGTGGGCTACACTGCTAGTAACAAATTAACTTGCTTCCAAAGATAGTTTTACATACAAAACTCAAGAACATATTCCTTGTGGGTTTGGATGTATAGTTGTAAGGTATGATGGGAAAACAAACCCGCCCGTGATTTACAGTGGTCTCGATGCAGCGGGAAAATTCCTAGAATATCTACAAAACGAAGAGAGAATAAACAGGGAAAATTTATCGCGTAAGAAACCCATGTGTATGACGAGGGATGATTGGAGGGCCTATAAGAAGTCAACGAGTTGTCATGTTTGTAATAAACCCCTGAATGGGAATCCCTAAGAGATCATTGCCACGTCACGGATAATTATCGGGGAGCCGCGCATAACGAGTGTAACTTGAAACTGAAAATGAATTCTCAAACAATACCCATCCCTGTTGTGTTTCATAACCTTGGAGGATATGATTCACATCTAATTATGCAAGCTATGTCAAAGACCGACGGCGGCTTAACATGCATTCCTAATAATATGGAAAAATACATATCATTTTCGTTGACTAAAACTATACATTATAGGGACAAGGATGGGAAAGCTAGAATAAAGCAAAGTAATGGGCTTAAATTCATAGACTCCGTACAGTTTCTGTTATCTTCCCTGGGACAATTTAGCTAATGTGAACAATCCCGATGACTTTGCAATAACAAATCAATATACCGATCGGATAACTCGTCATTTGTTGTTGAGAAAAGGTGTATATCCTTACGAATATATGGATGATTGGTCTAGATTCGATGAAATTAAATTACCACCCCTTGAATCATTCTATAGTAACTTAACAGAATCTAAAATAATAGATGCCGATAATGAACACGCTCTGACGGTGTGGGATAAATTAGGTTGTAAGAATTTAGGTGATTATCACGATCTGTACTTAAAAACCGATGTACTGATACTTGCCGATATATTTGAGATATTTAGAAAGACATGTTTAAAACAATACGGCTTGGATCCGGCATGGTACTATTCCAGTCCCGGACTGTCGTGGGATGCATTTTTGAAGAAGACCGGTGTAGAACTAAAACTACTCACCAATTACGATATGCACTTGTTTATTGAGAAAGGATTAAGAGGTGGTATATTGATGGTAGCGAAAAGGTATTCTAAGGCAAAAAATAAATTAGTGGAAGGATATAATCCGAGTAAACCCGACACGCACATATTTTATCTCAACGCCAACAATTTGTATGGATGGGCTATGAGTCAACCTTTACCCACGAGTGGTTTTGAGTGGGTCGATGATATCGATGTGAATGATATCCCCACAGATTCCGATAAAGGGTACATACTAGAAGTTGACTTGGAATATCCAAATGCCTTACATAAAGACCATAACAGTTATCCTCTAGCTCCCGAAAGATTAATGGTGAATAAAGATTGGATGTCGGAATATCAACGCTCCTTGATGGGTAATACTAAGTTAGCTAACGTAGAAAAACTCGTACCAAATTCGATGGATAAGACAAAATATATAATTCACTACAGAAATCTCCAGTTATATCTATCGTTAGGTATAAAACTAAAGAAAATACATAGAGTTCTAAAGTTTGATCAAAGCCCTTGGATGGAGCCTTATATAAGGCTGAACACAGATTTAAGAAAGATGGCTACCAGCGAAAAGAACCTATATAAGCTCATGAATAACTCAGTATTTGTTAAAACTATGGAGAATCTAAGGAAGCGTGTCGGTGTTAAATTAGTCAGGTCTAATGAGGAAGAAAGACTCAGGAAACTTATAGCCAGTCCCTCTTTTAACAGAAGCAGGATATTTGATAACCACTTAGCGGCGCTGCATATGCAGAAGAGTAATATAAAATTCAACAGACCGGTGTATGTTGGTATGAGTATTCTTGACTTGTCAAAACACTTAATGTATGACTTTTATTACAACGAACTTAAGAAGCAATACGGCGATAGATGTGAGGTGTTATGTACCGATACAGATTCTTTGTTGATGGAAATACAAACCGAGGATGTATATAAAGATATGGCAGAAAAAATAGATATGTACGACACGAGCGATTACCCAAAAGATAATCCACTGCACAGCGTAGTAAATAAAAAGGTGTTAGGTAAGATGAAGGATGAATGTGCTGGGACTCCTATAGCGGAGTAAGTCGGATTAAGACATAAGATGTATTCTATAAAGAAGTCTGATAATGTAGAGATAAGAAAAGCTAAGGGTGTTAAGAAGTATGTGGTAAAAAAGCATATCAAACAAGAACAGTATAAGGAAGCATTTTACATTCAAACATGAGCTCGAGATGAACACTTTAAGAAGTGTCAATCACAGGATATATGGATTAAGAATGAACAAGACATCATTATCCCCCTTAGATACAAAGAGATGGATTGATAAGGATGGTGTAACTACCTATGCTTATGGTTACTTAGGGCGGTAATATTGTATCGTTGGGAACTATGAGCACCTCTTCTCGTACAAATGCCCTGCCTGGTCCATCTTTAAGATAATAAAGAATAGGCTCTCCTTCTTTCATAACCAATCGACTAATGTTATATATCTTAAGAGACCAAATCGGATCGGTTGCGCGACGTTGGCCTCCTTTGAGTTCACCGGGCTGGTATCAATATCTTACGCTTACTCTTTACGGAAGTTTTTGTTCTTTGCCTCTCCTCGGTGCTGAAGATTCGGAAGTCACAGATTTCATTTTAATCGTATCAGATGGTTTCTTCTCGATCAATCTCGTTACTTCATTATTCAGCACTGATACAACAGCTGATAATCGTGTCACCCATTCGGTTGATCTCAATTGTTCCGATTTCTTTTGGATCCCATACTGATAGCCAAACAAACGTTTCGCTAATGTCCGGTTAAATCTTTCGACGATAGCTTGACTACAGTGGGCCTCTTTTTCACCACGCCTGATTTCCCCCTGTATTGGTGGTATAGGTATATAAATCTGGCTCCAGTGGAGTTGCGGCAGAACCCCTATTACCTATACTACTTCCGGAGAGCCACTCAGTCGCAATATTCCTTTACTATCTATTGTAAACTTGGAATAGTCACGGCCAGTTGGGGTAACATATTTTTTTGTCTTCTTTTAAGACATTGTAATAATCATTAATGGTTGATTGCAAAAGTTCCTGCTTAAAATTCATAAAGCTGGTTTCATCAGTACCATCTTCGACTGTACTAGTATCAGTTAGGTTATCTAGATTAATATCATCCATTTTTATATTAAACATAAGGTTACATAATGTCAATATAAACAAGTTCTTCGATATACGGATGCAAGTTAAATCCACAGCATAGACTTCGGGACCCATTAGGAGTCATAGCAATTCGCCAGTCTGTATCTATAACTTACAACCCAAGTACCATTTACCACTGCCCGACAATCATTTACAATTAATTTGACTTCTGTGGACCTTACCAGGGTCAACAAATGTTCAGAACATAGGTCGTGCAATTGTAAAGAAAATCACGGTTAATGATCGAGCATTAAAAAGATGGAATGCGATGAACTTATCAAGCAACTGCTCCAAGATGAGCCAGAACTTGTAGTTTCAGATCAACATAGAGAAATACGCGGGTTTGGTAGCCGGTGGAAAATGCTCTCAATACTTGGGGGAACATTACACCACTCAAAAAATTGATAACATGACCGATGAAGAAATAAAAAAACTGTACACGCGTTAAGAGTCTAGACTGGGAGCTATGGTAAAACTATACACAGCTGAAGCTAGTACGTTTCTTCCTATCCTACCAGAAAATTGTGTGTATTTATGCGAATCTCTCGAGAAAGACCCATTTATCAAACATGCTTTAAGCGCCATAAGCTGTGAGTTTTACCATAGATAAGGAATGTTCTTGGCGCCACTTACTACTGCTTTAATAACGGCTAAGTATTGTCTATTCAAACATACGTGCCCACTTAATAATAATGGAGGTCGAAACACCACAAGTGATTGCACAATCACCGCAAGTGAACGAGGAAACACCGCAAGTGAGAGTGACTAAGAATCCTTGAAAAGTCGCAGCCGGTAAAAGGGGAGCGCTAGTAAGGAAGGCAAAACTACTACACACTGAACTTAGTTCACACCCTATTAAAACTTGGGCTCCCTATGCCCTCGGCGTTATAGCAGTGGTATGGTTGTTTTTTAAGACTGGAGAAGAGAAAACACCGCCAGTCGAGGTTCAATTAGAGTTAAGCCCTCATGTAATGTTATAAAAAGCATGACTACTCCAGTTAAAGATGGTAAAATGGTGGTAAATGCAGCATATCAGCTGTGGTTAGCGGAATAGCTATCGGCTATGCACGTATAGGTAAAATGATTACTAGTGAGTGAGTATGGTTTTACGCCGTTTTTAGCAATATTCCAGCAATATCACGGCGGGGGACACCAGAAATGGGCTTCACACATTGTACCCATGTCGGGAATGGAACCCGGGTCTTCGGCGTGACGACCGAACGCTTTAACCACTAGGCTACCCAAATGATTACTAAAGCCACACCACCCAAGCTAGATTTCATTGGTTATGATATCGGTATGATGGTCCTAGATGTAGGCTTAGCTATGGCTACTAAAGATATGCTAATCAAACAAGGGCTTATCCCAGAAGACATTATGAAGTAATTAAACATTTGAATATTTATAAACATAGCATTGTTGAACACAGTTCAAGCATTAAATGGCATCAACTGCGATGATGGTCTATGGAGCTATTGTTAATGCTCTAGCTTTTTCGGGGAGTAATTTTTTATTTTCTAATTATAGTTTAGCAAGTAATACTTATCATCAGGTAAAATGCATATATAAAATATCAGT